TGTTGTCTTTGACCGAAGAGAGTTGACTCGGCGTCCTCCTGCTTCACACTCATTCCTCAGATTCACTAACAGGCTGTTATGGCTCCCTCGATGGTTGGAGGGTTGCTCTCGCTTAAGGACAGTTCAACCTTAATGCAGGGGGCTGATTCACTCTCACAGGGGATATCTTTTAAACTGGCGCCATGTCATCATGAGCATGCTTCCTCCATCCTCTAGGCTGCCACTCCTCTCCGCAACCAAGACGAACTATTTAAAATTGGCCACACCCATCGAGAAACCTGACACTGCATCATAATCCATTTTTCCACCACAACTGTGGTGTTTGCATCTTTTTCAAAGACTGTAAATGTTTGTTTTTGTATCTGGAAATTGTGTGTTATTTGAATTATTGTAAAGATTAAAGAATGATTTAAATGCATTTCACATACATAGCAAAAACACTAAACATGCTTGGAAGATTGCAGTAAAAATGACCAAACGCTAATGTGGATTTAAATGTTTCTTGAATTGAGAAAGGTTGTTGTTTGGGAAAACACTACGCATAAGAAATATGCTGATTTGCCAAATTTCCATAAGTTTGATGTAAACTAAATATGAACCTACAGCCACCAGCTGGTCAGCTTAGTTTAGCATAAAGCATGCAGTCCGTGCAGGATTTCACTGGCGTTCTTTGGGATTGTTGAGGCCTAAAATGCCTGATTTCGGAGCAGCTTTTCTAAAAAGTTGTGATGCATATTATGATGTTTTTTGGCTTTTTGTAAAATTCATCAATAATCAAAAGGCAACTTGTTCCAGTGAGAATAAAACTGCACTGTTTGGAGTGTTTTAAGTAACCTTACCAAAAAGGCTCAGGATTACGAAAAAATATAACAAAATATGCTACAGTTACCATTAACCATGCATATTTAATTTTAATTCACATTTATTCCATGTTGCAAGTGCTTCAAAACTGTTTACCGAGCATGTTATTTAGCAGTAATTTTTGTTGGTAAATGTGAAGAGTCTGTATCTTCACAACCAAGCCAAGGAAGTGAGTAGGTGATGTATGAGTCAATGTGTTGCTTGGGGGACTGCTATGAGTAGCAAAAACTCACAGGAAACTACAATGATTGGTCAGATTTGCAGAAAAGTGAAAATGAATGTTGCGATCTCAACATTGCAACTCCTGGAGTGAATGTATTACATACCACTCCACAGAAGGGAATGTTATTTACAGTTATATTGTTATATATTAGAGGATCAGTGTGTAGGATTTAGTGGAGTTCTCTATGTAGCAGTGAAGTTGCAGACTCCAAAATCACACAAAAAAAGCGAACTAATTTAAAGCAGGTTTTGAGACTATAATGTGTTCACAATGCCTAGTGTCTGCCAGAGGAAATGACATAATACATAATAATGTATAGCCATTATGCATTCTAAAACAATTTTATTTTTGAGTGTGCTGTTGATAGACACTATTATCCCAAAAAGCATTGCTCAGATAGAGGCTGTACTCACAGCTGCAAAACATTTAAATAAATTGTAGTAGTGTTGAGATAGCTCCAGAATGATCTTGGAAAACAAAACAAAAATCTGTGAAGTATCGATGTTTCGAAAGACACTTTGCTTTTGCTTTCTTCAAAGCCTGTGGGATTCTGTAATCGTAGTGTGATTGACCGGCTCATGTGCTGCATCATTTCCTCTTAGACTAAAGTACCCTGGGCATGTTAAATCTGAAAATATAAGTAGTTTAGTTTAGTCTGTTCTGGAGACAGAATTTGAGTTTGGCATTATGATATTGTATTTAATTGGAGACCAGTTTTTGAGATATTAAATCAAATCATTTTCTTCAAAGATGCTTTCAAAAGATTCTCAACAAATAAAAAAAGAGCACAAAGAAATATTAAACCATCCCTATAACTCCAAATTGACTTTTGCAGAAGCGCAGTTCCTACATACAACCACCTGATGGCGGCAGCAGACTGTGGTTTCCCTGTTACATAATGTGCATGTTACCCAAACTTTATCTACCAATCAGATAAACCCATAAAACTGCCACACATATAGAGCAAATGTGGGATTCATTCTTGTTTTGTTCCTGTTCATGTGTACTGTGAGGAAACACACTGCAATAAAGGGCCCATATCAAAGCCACATGTATCAGTGTTGTGGGAGGAGTGCCAGAATGCAGTGAAGTAGTTGGATTTGGCAGCTGGGGAAAGGCTTCATGGTGACACAGTGAGACTGAGGTTACCGTGTGTGTGTGTGTTTCAAACCATCTAACCAGCTGTTGGGATTACACCCTTGGAGAGCAGAGCAGTGGGAGTCCAGAGAACTCTAGCCTGTCTCTAGCAGCACAGAGCCTCCAGTCTTCTTCACTGAACCTGTGGCCTGAAGTGACCCCAGCAACACTCTCTGGCTGTTAGTCAACTGCTACTAAATGATGCTGTATAATAATATAGTCTCTTGTTTCAGGGCGTGTTTAACACCTGTGCTTTCAACTTATCAGAGATCTAGAACATATTTTGGAGACAGGCCAAGTTTTTACAAAATTTCCCAACCCAGCATGAACTGGACACTTGCATAACAAGATATTATGTAACTGTATGTATACATGTTTATTAAATGAGACACCAAAAAAAAAGTTACGCAAAACTATGATAAAGACAAACATCCACATCCATTACTTATTTCTGATTATTGTTATTATTATTAATTTTTTTAATGTGTAACATTTCCACATAAGAGCAGTCCTGGCCCCCTTCTGGGTGAAAGTGGCCCCTCTAATTTGACTGGCAGTAAATATAAATTCTGAGGTCCACCTCCATTACGGTGGACCGACCACTTTTACAGCGCTTGTTTCACCCAACTGCTTTATTCCGTGTATTTAGCAGTTTTAATCAGCGGGTCCATTTGTTTTGGAGAGGAGGAGACATCTGTGGATAGTTGGTCTCCTGGTAGAAACCTCCTGAACCATGAACACTAAAAATCTAACCAGGAGACCCAGCTGGGCTGCAAATTGGACTTCCCATGATCCCACCCTACCTTTCCACGACATCATCAAACTTTGTCTTATATTTTATGTTTAACAGTCATTATTGTTGACACGCATTCCCAAGATTCTCTTGGCTCTGTTGCTAGGACAACGTCATAATGATCAGTAATATACTCCATAAATTAGAGTTATATTTTGCCGTACTTGTACTTGAGTATTTCCATTACTTCTGAAAGGGTAATAGTGTACATTAAGTTCACTAATTCTTGACAGCTAAATTTACTCTCTAGATTAGGATTTTAAATCAAAAACCACAACATAAACTTATAAAAAAAACCACACTGTTAAAGATTAAACCAATGCTATGTGTCCCCTTACTAAAAGTGTCAGTGAGCCTCTTGTCATGTTTCATATTACTTAAATTATTGCAGTTCCACTGAGGAAGTTTTTCTCCTCTAAACGTCTCACATGGTTTCATTTAAAGAACAGTCTGTGGCCCACAGAGGTCACATGATCTAATATTTCACAAAAAGGCAATCAATTGAGTCCAAATGTGTTATACAAGTTTATTTTTCTTTTTTCCTCTCCATTAATCATCTCAGGACCCCTCAGATCTATCTGGTAAACCTTTGGAAGGACTGACCACTAGGCTTGAAACCATTGCAGGGGCGTTTCCAAAGGGGGGTGGCACTGGCCTTATTGGCCACCCAAAGTACCACCCATTGCCCATCCTTCTGTTGGCGCTGCGTGAGTGGCAGCTAGTTACAGCAGCTCAGTGTACGGTGCTCTCTCCCTTCATCTTCACCCTTTACGCCTCGGACTTCACCCACAACATCCACACACTGCCACATCCAGAAGTTCTCAGATGACACAGCCATTGTTGGATGTGTTTCTGAGGGGAACGAACTGGAATACAGGACTGTCATCAGGGACTTTGTCAGCTGGTGTGAGCTCAACCAGCTTCAGCTAAACACTAGCAAGACGAAGGAGATGATTGTTTCAGGAGGAAAATCATTCAACAACTTCACAGCCGGTGACATCCAGGGGATTGGGACCATTGAGTGCGTAGAAAATTACAAATTCTTCTAGGGTGTTCACCTCAGATAACAAACTGGACTGACTACAGGAGCGAGGACCCGGGATGCTGCTGTACAAGGAAGGGCGCCAGATTCGGCCTCCACTCTGAGGAGACTTGAGGTCTGTCGGAGTAAGCAGGGGCTCGCTCAAGACCTTTTTATGACTCTGTACGGACAGGGACAGGAAGAGACTCAATAAACTGATCAGGAGAGCGAGCTCTGTCCTGGACTGTCCTCTGGACTCCATTGAGGAAGTGGGTGAAAGGAGGATGTTAGTGAAGCCGACATCTATCATAGACAACACCTCCCCGCCCTACATGACACTGTGGGGGCCCTGAGTAGCTCCTTCAGCAGCAGACTGTTACACCCTCGGTGTAAGAAGGAGAGGTTCCGCAGGTCTTTCATCCCTGCCGCTGTCAGACTCTACAACACCTGCACCACCTGATCATGTTGTAGTTTCTGTTTCCAATTACCACCATACCATAGCTTTTATATCTCTATTTATTTATTTATGTCACTCAAATGCTGCTGTGACCAGTAAATTTCCCCGTTGTGGGATTAATAAAGTAATCTAACTAACTATCAACAAAAACGTCAATACAATCAATATTTGTTGGAGTTTCATGTACTTTTACCTCCTCTATTTACTATTATTGATTATATTACTAATCAATATCCAGTGAGATAAATAATGGACTTTATCTGGATCATTAATTTAACTGCTTTATACTGATCAATAGAATTATTAGTCCTCTGATCAATTTCTGATGTTTATTTATAAAAACTAAATGATCAACAATGATTGAAAATATAATTTGATTACAGATCAATGATAAATGTGTTATCTCATTCTTCACTAATAAATATGTTATTGAATATTCATACGTTATTGAATATTCATACATTCTTGAATATATATGTTTTTGATTTTTTTTCATTGAAGAAAAACATTTTTTTTTAATGATCGATAGATATTGATTTATTTGAATTATGAAACAGAACACACATTTACATTCTTATTACCATGAGTACAATGACGGTCAGCTACACACTAGCAATAACTGATCAATACCTAATCAATACCCGATCAGCACAGCCTGCATTAGCATTTCTCTCTGTTAGCCTTCAGCTAACACTTCACTCTCACTGCAGCACGGTTACCGTGGTAACAGTGATGATGAACTTCCAGAACCTCCATTTCATTGGGTTGTGGATCAATACCTGTCGATAAATAAGTGCTGATGATCCTTTCGGTGTTCATCCGTCAGCATCTGGTTCTCGCTCCATTATCGGAACCAGCTGCTGCAGAGTCCGGATCCAGAACCTCACACAGGAAGTATAAACTCTGTTTGATGGAGAACCCTAAAATGGAGTTAGACCAGTTCTCTGTACTCAGTGACAGGGTTCTTCCATTCAGAACTGGTTCTAATTTTGGATGTAAAGGAACTCCAGATAGAGAACTTGTTGTGTAAATGACCTAGAACCCTGATTTGAACCGAAGGTTATTAATTACATCAAATAGCAATCAATGGGTTCTATTAGTCAGTGTTGGTTCTAGCTTACAGAAAATAGTGCAATGAATCCATAAGCTGATGTAATGTTTCTAGAACTATGGGGAGAAGGTCTGGAGGAACATTTGCATTCTCTCAGAGGGTTCTACACCCTGAAGATGGAGAGCTCTGGATGACCATGGTTCTGGACATGTAGGAGGGTTGGGTGGGGTTTTAAACTGGTGGGAGAACCCACATATCCAACAGAATGTTTTAGAACTTAGGCTGAAGGTTCTAGGAGCAGGTGCAGAGTTCTTCAAGTTTACTCTGGAAGTTAGTGAAAAGGTTCTCGACCTCGTGAAAGACGGACTGCAGAACTCCAGACAGAATATGTCAGATATATGTGATGTTCGGGTTCTAGAAGGGCATTCCTCCCGAGATCTGCCGGGCCACCTGCTCGTCCTGGCTCTCGTCCTTGTCCTTTCTCTCCTGGTTCCAGTCCTTCAGCCCCTCCGGCAGTGTCGTGTCCTCATCCTCGCCTCCGGTTCCCTCCACAAACTCTTCATACGTCGACTTTTCTGCAAATGGACGTTTGCCCAGCAGTTCTACCATGTCGTTCTTATCCAGAACCTCCTTCTCCAGCAGCCGTAGCGCCACCTGTAGAACGACACAGGAACACATATAACAAGGTCAGTACTGTGCATGAGTGAAGGTTCTACTGATCAGAGCTGGTTAGAGTTTATGAAGATAAGATATGAAAGCATGGCAGCACATCAAAAGAACCATGTGTTCTGAAAGGCCTGGCTGCTTTGGAGCAGGGTTCTAAGTGAAGGTTTGTAGAGTTCTCGTCGCAAAAATGTGAACAGACAAGGTTCCATTCTTCTCAATGAACGGGTTCTAAAAACATGAACTGGTTCTAAGTTCTGTGGGAAATCTTTTTCAGAGGAAGTTTGTAGAACATTTTAAAAAATGTCTAGAAATACACATTTAGAACCTTGTTCTATGTCAGCCGACACACTTCTATAATGTTAGAACAGCAAATGTTTCCTCTTCAACTAGAATGAGCTCTGACTTATTGAACCCTGACATCAAACTCAAGAACAGGACTCAGGGTTCTATGAGGTTCTGGTTCTAGTTTATAAGGAAAAGATTTGTTAAAGATGCAGATTTAAGAACATCAGTTGGAGAAGATTCTGTTTTTGTTTGAATGACCTACAACCCTGTTGTTCTCTATTCATAAGTCCAACAGACACAGGTTATCTTTGATCAGGACATGTCCTTTAACTCCCACATAAAGCAAACCTCTAGGACTGCCTTTTTTCATTTACGTAACATTACCAATCACCAAGGTCTTGCTCATGGTGCGTATTTAAGAAAGACATCATCATTGTATTGATTAAAAAGAAAAGAGACAAAGTCTACGATGTCTATGTTGAAAGTGCCTGAGAGTAACTTCTGTTATGAATTGGCTGTCCAGAAGAAGACCACTGTGAAACTTTCTCACATCCATCCAGGTTCTTAATGATGATCTAGAACAAAGATCATTGGTACCTTCTCCACCTCGGCCTTCTTCTCGCTCAGCAGTTGGTAGGTTCTCTGGTATGCCTCACTGATGAGGGTTCGAACCTCGGTGTCGATGAGACGAGCCGTAGCTTCGCTGTACGGTTTCTCCAGAACCATCTCACCCTGCCGAGGGAGGTCGAAGGAAACCTGACCCACCTTCTCATTCATCCCGAACTGAACAATCTGCAGCAGAACACAGGATACTAGATTAACTAGCTGGCTAGCATTCTGCTAACACTAACTAACTTAAGATGTGACTATATATATATATATATATATATATATATATCTTTTATCTTTTAAC